CCAAGGTTGAGAATTCCTGGAGTGGGGTGGGATTGATGGACATTTTTTCTTATTCTTTTGTTTGTTTTGTATTTTCTACAGCAAATATGTATCTCTCTACTAATTGGAAAATATATATGTAAATATAAAATAACAATGTACATATGAATGATTTCACTCCTAAAGGAGAGAAAGTATTAACACGCCAGGACTAATGTGGCAAAGCGGGGAGAGATGATAAAACAACCATATTGGCAAAAGGCTGCATTTTCAGAGACAGAAAACGTGAGTATTGTTCAGTGTCATCATTACTTTAGAGATAAAAAATATAAAAAGTATTAACATATGTGCAATTCTGTGAGGTAACAATGTGTTTCGGCGTTGGCGTTAAGTGTATACCTTTCAAGCATAAACTATAGTGTATATTATTCTAGCCATATTTGTTTTATTTCAAAGCAGACAGGGAAAGATACTGGAACACTATTTTTGCAGGACACCTCTTGAAGCTGAAGTCAGTTGTTTTAAGATGAATGAAAGGAAATATTGTTTACATAGTTAAAAGTAAGCATAAGGAATGTGTTGAGTCTGAGACTTAAAAGGAAACGGGGAAGGGTGGAAGAGAAGAGTAAGATTTGTTGAAAACCTACTATGTGCTGTAAAATGTTTTATTATCCCCATGTATGAGAAAAGGATCTGAGATTCAGTTCAAATTACTTGTTCAATAAACAGCAATCTTTATTAGATTAGGTTTGAAATAACTTTTTATGTTAACCTTCTGATTAGTACATTCACTGACTATTGACTCAACACAAAAAAGAAAGCAAAAAGAAAAAAAGAAAAAAGCAATTGAAGGTTGCACTTTAGAGAGTTTTTAAGTAACATATAGGGAATGATACATCTATCAAAATAAGCACAGGGAAATACATTTTCAATCTACATAAAAATACTAAAAGTATCTGTCCTTTTTATGGATTTTAAAGGGAGAAGAAAAGAGACATGTGATTAAGATGAGAGAGAGGGGGTGGAGAGGAGGAGAGATGACAGAAATGGAGGAAGGAGGAGAAATGAACATGGATTGCAAGCTAGCAAGAGTAGCAATAGATCTAAAAAAAAAGGATCTGGGGTGGGTGAGTGTTAGACCTACGTAGATGGAAAGTTCCTTTTGTTACTGTTGTTATCAGCTTTATTGAATATAATTGACATACCATAAAATTCACCCTTTACTCTACACAGTTCAATGGGTTTTAGTGTATTCACAAGGTTGTGCAACCACCACCAGTATCTATTTTTAGATTAAAAAAAGAAGCTAGACACCTATCAGTAGTCACTCTCCATCCCCCATTTCTTCCTCGAACAATCACTATCCTACTTCTCCTCTCTATAGATTTGCCAATTCTAAACATTACATATAAATAGAATCATACAATATGTGGCCTCTTGTCCTTGTTTTTTTTTTTTTCGCTTAGCATAGTGTTCTCAAGATTCATCCATTTCATAGTCTCTTTCAGTACTTCATCACTTTTTACCACTGAATAATATTCCATTGTACAAATTTGCCATATTTTATTTATCTGTTCACGAGTTGGAAACATGTGGGTTGTTTCTACTTTTTTGCTACTATGAATAATGCTGCTATAAACATTCAGGTACAAGTTTTTATGTGGACATGCATTTTCATTCCTCTTGGGTGTATAGCTAGGAGTAGAATTGCTGCCTCATATGGTATCTTTGCGATTAACGATTAGAAAAATTGTTAAACTGTTTTCCAAAGTGACTGCACCATTTTTAATTCCCATCAACAACGTATGAGGATTCCAATTTCTCTACATCATTGCCAACACTTACTATTTGTCTTTTTGATTATAGCCATCCTAGTGGGTGTGAAGTGGTATGTCATGGTGGTTTTTATTTGTATTTACCTAATGACTAAAGATGTTGAGCATCTTTTCATGTGTTTGTTGGACATTTGCATATATTCTTTGAAGAAATGTCTATTTAGCTATGTTGTTCATTTTTAATTGGGTTATTTATCTTATTATTGAGTTGTATGAGTTATTTTTATATTCTGGATACAAGCAAAAGTCTCTTATCAGATACGTAATTTGCAAGTATTTTCTTCCTTTCTATGGGTTGGCTTTTCATATTCTTTATAGTATTCTCTGAAACACAAAAGTATTTGTTTTGTTATAGTCTAGTTTATTTATTTGTTATTTTTTTGCTTGAGCTTTTGGTGTGTCTAAAAATTTATTGTCTCACCCAAGGTCATGATGATTGATTCACATATTTTCTTTTAATAGTGTCATAGTTTTAACTCTTATATTTAGGTCTATGATCTATTTTGAATTAATTTTTGTATATGGTGTGAGGTAAGGGTCTAACTTCATTCTTTTGCATGAGAATATACAGTGATTCCAACATCATTTTTTACAAAGAATGTTCTCTCCCCCTTTGAATGGTCTTGCCACTCTAATAAAATTAAGTTAACCATAAACATGGGGATTTATTTCTCAATCAATTATGTCATTGATCTATAAGTCTACTCTTATTCCAGTACCACATGTCTTGATTAGTGTAGTTTTATAGTAAGTTATGAAATCAAATCCTCCAACTTTATTCTTCCTTGTCAAGATCATTTTGGCTATTCAGGGTCCCTTGCAATTCCATATGAATTTATGGAAAAGTATTGGCTTTTCCATTTCTGCAAAGAAGCTGGGTGGGATTCTACTAGGAGTTATGTTGAATAGAAGTGGTGAAAGCAGACATCCTTGTCTTGTTCTTGATCTCAGGGGGACACATTAAATCTTTCAACATTTAGTATGATATTAGCTGTGAAGTGTTCTTAGATAATCTTTACCTAGTTGAGGAAGTTCTCTATTGTTCCTAGTTTGTTGAGTGTTTTTATCATGAGAAGGTGTTGGATTTTGTCAATTGCTTTTCATGTGGTTTTTGATTTTTAATCTATTAATATATTGTATTATATCTTCCGGAATAAACCCCACTGGTTATGGTGTATGATCCTTTTTACATGCTGTTAGATGCAGTTTGCTAGCATTTTCTTGAGGATTTTTGTGTTTGTATTTATAAGGGATATTGCTCTGTAGTTTTCTTTTCATGTGATATCTTTATTATATTTTGGTATCAGTATAATGCTTTCCTTATAGAATGAGTTGAAGAGTGTTCTCTCTTCTACTTTTAGGAATAGTTTGTGAAGGATTGGTATTAATTCTTCTTTGAATATTTGGTAGAATTTACCAGTGAAGTGATCTGCTACTGGGATTTTCTTTGTGTAAAATTTTTTAGTTCCCTATTTGACATCTTTACATGTTATAGATGTATTTAAATTTTCTATTTTCTTCTTGAATCAGGGTTGATAATTGCACCTTTCATCTATGTCATCAAATTTATTGGCATATAGATGTTAGTATAAGTTTTGGTGTGTTGCATTTTTGTTTTCATTCATCTCAAAGTTTTTCCTACTTTCCTTAGTGATTTTTTTTCTTTGACACATTGGTTATTTAGGAGGGTCTTGTTTAATTTTCACATATTTGTGCATTTCCCAAATTCCCTTCTGTTATTTATTTCTGATTTAATTTCATTATAGTTTAAAAATATACTTTATCTGATTTCAATCCTTTCAGATTTATTGAGACTTGTTCTATGGCCTAGCATATGATTTATCCTGGAAACTGTTGCATTTGCACTTGAGAAGAATGCCTATTCTGTTGTTGTTGGGTGGAGTATTCTACAGATGTCTTGTTAAGTCTAGTTGTTTCATAGTGTTGTTCAAGTCTCCTATTTCTTGTGAATCTTATGTCTGGTTTTTCTATTAATATTAGTTATTGAAAGTGTGGTATTAAAACTTTCAATTTCTATTGTTGAATTTTATATTCCTGTCTTCAATTCTGTCAGTTTTTTTGCTTTATGTATTTTGGGGAGTTGTTGTTAGGTGTATATATATATATAATTTTTATATCTTCCTAATAAATTTTTCCTTTATAATTATAAAAGTTCCTCTTTATCTTTAATAACTTTTTTTTGTTTTAAAATTTATTTTGTCTGATACAGTCATTGAAACTACAGTTCTCTTTTGTTTACCATTTGGTAAATCTTTTTTGATCCTTCTGCTTTCTACTTTTTTGGGTCTAGTGAACAGTTCTTATTATACCACCTTAGGTTAGGGATTTACATTACATTATTATCATTATTACTATTATTTGGCATTTGTTTTGCTGATTAACTACCATTGATAGATTTTTTTTTTCCTTTAACCCTTCTGAGGCTCTGTATTCAGTTATGTAAGCACATCATCATGAAGAGTTACAGGCAGGTTGGGATTATTTTCTGGGCTTCAATATTGATTACAGTGATATAAATGAATAAGATCTTAGAAGAGTTGGCATCAAATCAAGGTGAAGCTGAAGCTTGAGTCATACTTAAGAATTGGTATTTTTCACTATAATTGGGCACACTACTATAGCATTGTTATATTCCCTGCTCTGAATGCTAGTCTAGAAATTCAGGGTCTTTGTGACAGGTGAATATCAACCACACAATTGTAAATGTGTGCTTGAGTATGCCTGGCATCTCTCCTCATCCTTCCCCTCCCTGACCAGCTCTGGAAAGCAAATAATGGGTAACAATAGGAGTGCTGGAATGTTCCTGTGTGGGGCTGACCTTTGTATCACTATTAATGCTCTATTTTCAGAAACAAAAGAGATTAAATTAAAATTGGACAGAATCCTTTTCTGGATCACAGGGCTGAGTTGCTTTTCCTCTTTGCAAATCCAAAGGATTTAACAGTATTCTTCCGTTCTCAATGCCCCCACCCCTGCCTTGACCTTCACACCTTCCCAACATCAGGGAAAGGCAGGAAGTTTTCCTTGTGGGTTTTATTTGTGATGACATGATGGGGCAGGTTGATCAATGGGGAAAACCCCATGTGAGAACACGCCTTCTGTGTACATTCCCAATTTTGCTATAAGTAGAGCCATCCTAGGCTGCTATCACTCACTGCTATCACTAACACAACAGCACTCCCAAAGAACTGGGTACCCAACACTGAGCAGATCTACTCTTCGAGCTGAAAATGATGTGCAGTAGCAAGAGTTTGCTCCTGGCTGCTTTGATGACAGTGCTGCTGCTCCACCTCTGCAGTAAAACAGATGGTAGGTGTTGTTCTTTCTGCTACCACAGGAGGAAGAGCAATTTTCATTTTCCTCTAAATCTTGAGCTCAACTGGGGATCTGTAAGGGATGGAAGCCTGTAAGAAAGTATATAGGAGGGAATGATGGGAGTTGTCAGCTCATTGGTGAGTGGAGGAGAGAAGGGTTAATGCTGCCAATCAGGCTTACCTCTGCTGTCAATCCTAGCAGATTTGGGAAGTGGTGGGCTCTTAAAGACCCTTAAACTTCAGGAGAAAGCCAAAATGCTGTTTCTGGGCATGATGTAAATTGTGTAACATTACCAATAAATGGGATCATTCTGAAATGTAGAGGATAGTCCCACTTCTCCAACTTTCTTACCTCCCAATTAATTAGTTTTAGTAAAGTTTGGCACCTGATCTCATTGTCCTCACAAGGTCTTGGGGACATTGCTTGCCAACTTTGAGATAATATTAGTCCCTTGCTTTACAGCAGGTTGTAATTTAACTCAGGGGCGTGTCCAAACATTGTGTTGTTACTGAAGAGTACATTACTTGCAGCAAGAGATGCATTCCTGAAAATGCACATGTTGAACTTTTACAAACAAAATTAAACATTCCTGTTAACTAATATTACAATTTCAGAGTGCTTTAGTTCCTATGAATGACATTTTCCTTTGTAACCCCACTTCTCGATTCTCAGTAGACAAATAATAAATTAAAATCTGCCAATTTATTCACTTTCTGAATTGGAGGGTTTTCTGTAAGAGTTTCTTCAAGTGGTGAGGTGATTATAGTAATGAGTGATTATAGTAAACTGAAATGAAATATTGTCAATTTGTGTTTCCTACCAAAGATATTCCACTTATGAGAAGTCACGTGTTTATGAACTGTTATTGAATCAAAACTTCCCAGCGCACAAACTATTTTTTAAGAGGACTGGAAACTATGTTAAAATGAATCTCAAAGACCTTATACAGGTGTCAAAGATATTGAAACTCTTCCACTAAGTACTTTATTTACCACGTAGATTAAATTTACTAGATTTTTCGCAATTTCTGGTAGTTTTGTAATAGCAATCACAGGATAAGTTCATTCATACGGACTCAATACCTTTCATTTCCCTTTTAGCAGCAAGCAACTTTGACTGCTGCCTCCGATATACAGAACATATCCTTCCTCATAAATTTATTGTGGGCTTCACACAGCAGCTGGCCAACGAAGCTTGTGACATCAACGCTATCATGTAAGTTATTAATTGATTTTAATTCAATTGTATCATGAATGCATGGGAATTTCAGGTATGAAAATGTTTTACTTTTTCTAGTTTCATTAAGAAATAACTGATGTGGCAAAGAGAGCTTTGTTTTCATAATACATATTTACTTCAAAGTTCACTGTAAATAGAACTGGGACAATGCAAAAGCTTAGTTATTTTTGTAAAAAGGAACGTAGCACAGGCAAAAACCACTTTCTAAGATAAACTTATAGGTTATTAAAATGCTATCTCAGGAATATATGGAAGACATATATTTTGAAATGAGCATCTTCTACAGAAAATTGCTGGGGCTGACAGTAAAATCTCAGACTAATTTGTACTGTCACATATAATATTCTTGATTCATATAGGATATTATATTTTGGAATTATGTAAGTTATTGGTTAGATGCATACATATTTCATGTAACCACCAGCAGCAAAATTGTATGACATTTCTGGGACTTTATCTTCCTGCCATTGTACAATCATTTGTTATACTGAAGAGAAAGGGAGAATCACTTTCATTTTGCATTAAGCTTTATCAGAAGTATTTTTTTTTTGCATTTTATTTCACCTCTTTAGCTGAAATGTTTAGCATGTAGAGCAATCAACTAGAATATAAAATTTCCATTGCATGTTTTGTGAAAAAAAAATTTAAAAGCTCATTAAACACAAATCCAATTTTCTGATTTTTCAGCTTTTACACAAAGAAAAGATTAGCTGTGTGTGCAGATCCAAAGAAGATTTGGGTGAAACAAGCTGTGCGTATCCTCAGGTATGGAACACTGATGATCCATTAACCTCTCTCCAAATGTTTGAGGAAAGAGGAGTGTGCAAGGTGGTGGACCATAGGCTTGCTAGGTTTTTTGTTTTGTTTTTTGTCTAAGCGTTGTAGAATTTTTAAAGGGGAAATTCGAATTGGACCATGAAAATAAAAAATGAATATCTTTCTATTTATAGATCATCGCTATTATTTTAATGATTTTAGTGATTTTTCACATGAAGTATTAGATTTCCCTACACATTAGATAGTCATTAGCTGCTTGATTCTTATTACAAAAATGCCACCTATTCACATAATTTAAAGACTACCTGATGTTTGGTTGTTCGTCAAAAACTGAAAAATAAACATTAGTTAAAAAGAGATCAGTGGTTCTGATTACAATGATGATAAGAGAGAGTAATATTTTATAAATGAACAGAAAGCAACTAACACCAGTGTGCCATAAACACTGAACTTGGAAATACAAGATAAGTGTTCACATCCAGTCTCTGTCATTAACTAGCTGAGTTATGCTGGGCAAGGTCCATCCTCTGTAAACCTCAATTTCCTCATATGGAGTGAGCTGCTTGGCCTCCAGAGATGAGATTAAGGACATGTGAAGCAACTTTTAGGTACCAAAGCCATTCTCACCATCCAGTCACTTTGTCTCTGCTTACACTTTCCTTCTTTTTTACTTTTACAGCCAAAGAGTCAAGAGGATGTAAAAACTCATGCTCTTCTGGAATGGAATTGGACACAGCCCAAGAAGAAGAAGAACCTAGCTGGGGTTGGAGGTTTCATTTGCACACCGTTGAGGGTTTAGCACTTCTCTGATTTGCGCCTCATTGGACTTGTCCAATTAGTGAAGTTGATTCATATTGCATCATAGTTTGCTTTGTTTAAGCATCTCCTTGAAGTCACACTCTATTTTATGTTAAATTATTTATAGCTGTACATTGTCTGTGTTTAGCTATTTAATACGAATTTCCTATAAGCTATTTGGTTTAGTGCAAGGTATAGAATTATGTTTGGGGGGATAAGATCATATGGGCTGTCTTGTAAGCAACAGCTATTTTTTTTTAAAAAGCTATTTAACATTCTTCTGTTTATATAGTTTTATCTCTTACATTGTTGTAATTATAAAAGAGAAAAATGACGATGAAACAAATATCAAAAATAAAAGAATGAAAATGTTGTTTGTTGATTGAGTCATATATCATTTATTGTGACGCGTATTGAAAACATTTAAAGGCACAGAAAATATAAAAATTTTCTGAAAAATTACATTCTCCATCTACTTCTGTCTGTCTGTTCCCCCTATCTCTGCTCCTCATGGTCCTGAACTTGATTCTATCTGAAGTATAATGGAAAGATTGGGGTTTCTTTTTTGTATGTGTTTAAAGTCATCCAAATTAAAAAAAATATATCCTATACCTGAGATCTATAGCCCAGTGATTATTGATAAAAAACTTTTTCTAAAATAAAAAAGTGTGCAATATACTTTGTTACTACAGGGACACAATAAGCATTTAGAAAATACCTTGAGAAATCACTTAGTACACCACTGTCACCACCGGGGTCCCAGGGACAGTAATCTGAACATAGGGACATTTCTCTACTAAGTCCTCCTGAGTCATCTTTAAGCAGTTTCCAAAAGGAAAATGACTACTCAAAGTGTTCTTAGAAATCGACAACTTCACTCCAACCCGAGGGGAGGCTTCAGATGTGTGAAATCTAGCAAGAGTCCAGCCGTAGGATGAAAAAACCTGAACCAGCGGAGTTACTGTCACAACATTCATGCACCACAGTTCCCAGATGCCTCCATCCAGCACTCCAGACAGTCTGCCTCAGATTCGGAAGGACACGAAGGGTCTCTGGAGGTGGGCACCCTGATGATAAGATGCAAAGTTCAGACACGTAAATCCGTAAAGCAGGGCAGTGATGGGTCATTGACGTAGAGCCAAAAAAGAGTAAGAGGCTCAACATGCCCCAAAGGCATCTCTGTGCCCAGAAATAGTAACACTGAGTCATCAGGGAAAGTATGCTCAATATCCTGTTCATTGATTCGTCAAACATAGGTTAAGTTACCTAATATGTGTCAGGCACAGTGCCAAGTGCTAGACAGATAAAGTGATTTAAGACTTGGTCACCTGCTTCTAGATAATTAGGGCTGAGTGATGCTGCAAGAGGAAGGAATGACAGGCACACCAGCGATGACAACACATGGCGGTAAGAACTTTAATCAAGAAACTCACGGGGTGCTATCGGGCATCATTAGCGAGGGCTTGCAGAAGAAATAATACCTAGTTGAATCATTTTAACCAGCCAATATTTGATCCTCTTGACCTAAAAAGATGGCAATTTCTTAAACTTGAGCCCAATACTTGAGGTATGAAGGACCAGGAGGAGATAGCCAGTTGGAAAAGGGGCAGCAAGGAGTATTGGGAAATATCTGGGGGCATGTTTAGTTGTCACAGTGTCTGAGGGTGGTGTACTGCAGGCATTCAGTGGGCAGGAGGCAGGGATGCCAAACCTACTGGAACGCACAGGACAGGTCCGCACAATGAATTGTCCCACTCAGACCGCTGGTCACGCCACCACTGAGCAACACTGGATAAAGTGGAAAGTATGCAAGGGGTGGGGGTAGAGGCGGAGTAGCTGCAGATTAAGTAAAACTGTTACCTCAACTAAGTGTAGTGGTTTGAGCTTGACCACGGGAGCACCGGAGAACCACTGCAAAGGTCAAAGCAGGTGTGGTCTCCATGTGGCACAGGAAGGGGAGGTGAGGCAGATGGGGCGCAGAGATACCAGAGACAACTGCCACGAGTAAGGTGAGAAATGGTGACACCTCAGCTAGAGTCACGGTGAAAGGAAAGGTGTGGAAGAGCTGGGGGTGTGAAGCCTGAGAGTCATCCTAGACACCCCTCCCGGCCACCTCCACCAGTCACACTTTCTTGGAACAGCACAGCCAAAGACAGGCATCGCCAGAGTCAGCAGATTTGGCTGACTGCTGAAAGGCCCCACCAGGTAAGCCCTGTACCACCAGAAAAGGAGCAAATTTTGTTAGCACTCTGAAGGTGTCTGACTCTTTTAAGGCCAGGACTACTAACAACTACTAAGTGGGTTTCTGGAGACTGAACTCTCCAGGCTAGAATGCCAATTTATTAACATGCAATGAGAGCATGCAAGTGTCAAACACATGGGCATAAGCACATGGTACATTAGGTGAGTAAGCCACCTGAGGACTTCAGTTGGAATCATAAAGCTGGTTTGTTTAGCTTGGGATCAGAGTGCCAGGCCTCAGCTAGTAATTTGAATAGTTAATGCACTAGTTTCACTGGACTAATCATGTTCTTGGATTAGGGATGTCACTCCCAATTCACAGACATTTTAGAAAGTGTATATCTTTATATTTCATTTTTAATTGAGGTATGCTTTATATGCAGTAAAATACACAAATCTTAAGTGTACAGCTTGGTGAATTTTTGTATATGTACATCCTGTGTAACAACCCTGCCTCCTTCAAGACATCGAATGTTTTTAGCACCCCTGAGGAAGGATCCCTCCTGTCCCCTTCCATCTGTACCACCCAAGGGTAACAGGTGTTCTGACTTGTTTCACAATAGATTAGTTTGCCCTCATCATTTCTTTGTGCAGTTCCATCATAAATGGAACTGCACAAAGTGTATGCTTTAGTATCCGACTCCTTTACTAGCATCTTCCGTCTTTTTAAATTCTTTTTAACTGCATGAGTAATTCATGAACTCATTCTCCTTAGATTCAAACAAGAGTGATACAATGAAGGTCTCCTTTAAACTTCCTTCAAGCCTCTTGACTTGCTGGGGCACAGGATGCCTTCGCACTCTCTTAGGCTAGGTCGCCCTTTGTATAGTCTTCCTGAGAATACAGCTATCCACCACTCATTCATTATCAGAGTCTAGCCCTGTCTCCTGGAATTACTCTCTGATCATATGAATGTTTCTCACGTTTTTGGTCATATATTTTGTCCAAAAGTCTCTCGTATAAGACTGCCACAGCCTCTGCATGTGGGTTTAACTCTGTATTCTCAGAGTGGTCTCCAAATTCTTCAGGGCCTCCCCTGTGCCCTCCATTAGTGTCAGTTGTCCTTAGGAGGTCAAATAAGATAAGGATGGAATAATGTCTTGACTCTGGCAATCTGTAGGCCATGGGTGATTTTAGGAGTATTCAGCGAAACAATAGCGGAGAAAATCCCGATGACAGCGAGTTGGAGAATGAATGGTGGCAAGTAGCTTGGCAAAGAGAGTAAGTGGAAATAAAAGTGGAGGGGGAGTTTGTTTCTTTCTTTTTTTCTTTCTTTTTTTTAGATAGAAAAGTGTCATAAAAGCAGAGAGAGAGAGAGTGTGAGAGAGATTAGAGACTGAAGATACTATAAAGAGTTGAACATTCTGAAAGGGTGATAAATGGTGGCTCAACTTCCCTCGAGTGGTGGGAGAAGTGGTTTCCAGAACACAAGTCAATTGAGGCATCGCTTCCTATGGAACAAGATACACCGAGGAGAGAATGGGAGAGGACGGGAAAATTTTACAATTTGGGATGGAGGAAGTTGATGGAGACTGTGGTGGTCTTGCTGTTCTTGGTAAAAGATTCGCCGTCTTTTGAGAGTGATGCGACAATGGGCAGGGCTGGGGCTTCGAGATGAAAGGCGAAGCTTTGGGATAGTCATTAAAGGACACGGGGACACTGAGGTTGGAGATAAATGAGCTCCTGTGGCTCCAGGTGGCGTGAGCCAGGTGGCCTGCTGCAGTGGGTGTAAGAATGGAGCAGCACTGCGTGAGGCTCATTCGGGCTCAGGCTTTGCATCTAGCTGCGGTGCGAGGACAAGAAGGCAAGAGAGTCTTCGATGGGGGTTCAGAGAGGGACTGAAGTGCTGAACCACGGCGTCTACGCCAGAGACGGGAGATGAAGCCCAGAGGTGTCTGAGACACTGGAAGAAAGTGGAAAGGCCCTCGGATAAAAGGCCTTGATGTGGTCAAAGGGCAGCGGAGTGGGTGGCCGGAGGGGCTGGAGCAGCTCCAGGAGCCAAGGTCCAGGGGTGTGGCTGTGGGTGTGCGGCTCTAACAAGGGGGTTGGAAAGCTACCAGGGTGGATGAGTAATCCCTATTGATTCCCCCACACGCCACTTCTTATTAGGGAAAATGCGAATGCGGAGAGAATCCTATAAGAAACCCCCAACTACTAGCCACTGAGCTTTAACCACGTAATGGTCAATCCTGTTTCATCCATACCACCCTACTCACTCCTTCCCATCTCTATTCCCTGGATTGCTCTGATGCAATTCCCAGACATCAAATTACTTTGTCTATAAATATTTTATGTATATATATGAGAACTTTTAAAAGCACACAACTTCACTATCATGGATTTAAAATTCAGTACTAATTTCCTAATATCACCCAATAGTCAGTCAATGTTCACATTTGCCTGTTTGTTAAAAAAAATAGTAATTTTTTTTAAGTTGATTTGCATGATTGAAGATCCAAATAAGGTCCACCTACTGTATTTGTTTTATTTTTAATCTGTAAGTTCCTCACCACTCCCTACCCTTTTCTTTGTGCTTTGCAATTTATGTTTTAGAGAAACCAGGAAATTTGTTCTGTAGTTTTCCACCTTCTGGGTTTTGTCAATTGCATTCCTGTGAGTGCCATTTAGCATGTTCTTTGAGCCCTACCTGGAAGTAGAGGCTGGGTCAGTTCGAATTGTGAGTAGGGGGCGGGACGACTGGCTACTGCGTAATTGGCCTTGTGCCACATAGGTACAAAGTCCCCTGAATTGACGCCATCGACAGGAGTGAAAGGACACAGTGAGCCGGTGCCAAAGTCCTCCAGGACTGTGAAGAACTGATCAAGACCTTTAATTAGGCAGCCAGAGGCAGGGAACTATGTGGTCTAATGACATCCCGTGCTTCACAGGAGGCGATGGGTAAGGCGTGCAGGAAGAATGAAGTTCCAGCAGGGAAACATGAGCAGAGCAGGCTGGTCTCCACCCACTCTTGGCCCTGTGGTGGGAGGGACGGGGAGAAGAACCCCTTCATCTTGAGAAGACCACCAGGGAAGTAGTGTTCTTGCCACAAACTCA